ACATCTGCAAATTGCCAAGCTCGGAGGTCAAACCAACAGCCTAAAAAGAGTTCTCATTGGAAAACCTAAAAGGCTGCCGTGCATAGAACGTCATGGAGAAAATCTATGTATGTGGTTGCTAAGAGTCAATACTGACTTGATGACACATAATCTATCTCAGGGGTGTCAAACTCAAGGCCCGCAGCCTGAATCCAACCTGCGGGGTGCTTAAATCTGGCCCACGGGGCCAGCCTGGAAATACTGAAGGACTGGCCCATGTTGCCTGTGGCAGCCAAAACAGGGCATGGAGGGGCCACACACAACCCCCCATGCCCCATTTTTGGCCTGGACGGCCTCCTGCAGCACTTTGCTGGCCAAAACGGGGCACGGGGGATGCACGTGGCCCCCCATGCCCCATTATGGCCAGCAGGGTGCTGCAGGAGGCGTCTATCCTGCCCCTCCCCCAGCCAGCCAGCAGAGAACTACAATGCTGATTCAGCCCTTGAAGAAATCCAGTTTCACACCCCTGATCTATCTGAATTATATGTTTTTATCTGGCATCTTTTTTTCAGCCAGATGCCTTTCAGGGATTTGGATTCCAACTTCGAATTATCTTGTGCCATTGTGCCACCTGGGCATCTAAAACACAGACTAGGCTTGCAAATCATCTATGATTTTGTTTATGCTCTGGGGTTTATTCTAATGATGTTTTTTAACATTTCTGTTATTTTAGAAACAAAAGATGCACCACTGGTATTGTCAGTTTTGAAGCTCACTTGCTGTTCATCCTTCGAATCTCTGGCCTCAATGCCTGCAGATCAAGGAGTGTGCATGTGTTCTCGACTTACAACTGCTTGCTTAGGTAATGCTCCCTTAATGCACAACCATAATTCCAGACTCAAGTAAGTTAAGGACTACCTGTATCTCATAAGAGCTCTGCCTTCAAGTTGGGGTGTGTGTCTGTGACTGTGTCTATGTGTGCATCTGTGTCTATGTAAATCATGCAGCTTAATTACAAAGGGAATCAAGTCCTATTATGGCCAATTATTTTTTTAAATTTATTTTTATTTATTAAATGTATATGTTGCCCAACTCTTTGAAAGTATAGTAGAGAATGAAGTGTAGGTAGTACAGATGGAAAAGGTTGGACACCAGAGGGAGCCAACAATTACAATTAAAGGAAAATAACATTTAAATTTGATTTACTAATAGAAAATGGAGCAAAATATTATAACGTTGGATACAGTGGTGCAATTCAACCAGTGTAACAACGGGTTCAGTGAGCGTACAGCATTTAGAAAAGACCATTTTTAGCTATGATATTTACTTTCTGCTGCAGCCCCAGTGAGTAAAACAGCTGATGCATGGCAAACTGCTCTGCCACATGAATCAGCTGTATCAGAAACAAGGAAATAAAGCACAGGAAAAGGGCAGGGGCAGGTGGGTGTGGCCAAATGATCACCAGTTCACCTGAACCAGTCCAAACCGCTAGAATCCCACCCCTGGTTGGATGTATTGAAAAATATTTGTGAACAATGGACCCAGAAGATAAATGTAAGAGTGTCTTTCTTTATAGACAGTGTTTAAAAGATGTTATGGAAGAGAACCTGGATAAGTGTCAGTTCTGCCTCAGGTTGAGCCTTTAAATAAGAACGATCCTTGACTTCATTTAGTGAGAAAGGTGTAGTTTACTAAAGATCAAGCAGAACATAGTAAAGCAAAGCCAGAACTGAAATTTGCATGCCCAAATCCCTAAATTTAACTCCCGCCGATTAGTCACTTGTCACTACTGTTGGTCTCCTATTGTCTAATCTTATTCCAATGAAATGTTTTAGGAACGGTCTCTTCAACTGTGGGCTGGCTGGTATGCAGCTGCATGCCACTCCCAGCTGTCTGATCTTGAAGTTTTGTGCCTCCAGAAGGTACAGTGAGTAGTGAACTTTTCCCCCCTCCCATTCAGTTCTCTCCCCAAGTTCATGGCAGACTGGCATCTAGCAAATACAAAGCACATGCCTGAGATGGTAGTTCTGACAATAAGACTGAGACTTGCATGAAAGAGGATTTTAAAATGACAAGGTTTAAGAATGATATGGAAAAAGATGCCGCACTGATATACCCCAGGGTGAAATGGGCAGCAAACAAATTTAATAAATAATATTAAATAAAAATATACAAGTGAAACCAGTTGATGTCTTAAGAATTAAAAGGGACATATAAATAACAGATTTAAAGAGTCATCAGGATAACTTTCCTATATTGCATTTACAAAAGAGACTTGTTCAAGCTTTGAAATTTTTTGTGAGAAGGAACAATGAACAAATGAACAATTAAATCTATTGGAAGAGATTAAAGACCAGGATTGTTAGAATTAAAAGGAAGTTGCTTTATTTATTAAGGTTAAAATACTGTAGATATGTTGCTATCTCTTGCAAGCCTTAATGAACTTTTGCCTATCAGGACTGAAATGATAAGGTGTTAAAAATTTCTTTATAAATAACAGATGGGTATGGGAACAAATAATTTTAAGAAAAGGTAGCAAGTTACTAAAATTGTTCATACTTTTGAAGCACAGAGTTGATAAAGGAAGAAGTCATTTCTTTATTTCTTTTATTTTTCTTTACTCTTGATTATTCTTTTTTCTTTTCTGCACGTTTTTTCTTTTTTAGTTTGCATTAGTTTTTATCATTTTAATTGTAACATTTAATAAAATTACTCTAAAAAGAGATGCTGTAATGGATTTTATACCAAGCAAGGGGTTAAACTTAGATGATCTCTAAGATCCTTTACAACTCTATGGCTGTAGTATTGCATTTCCTACAAATAGCAAGGAAGAGGATTGAGGGTGGATGCAGAACAACACTGCTCTTGCTAATTCAAGAGTTATATTTTCAGCCATGAAAGTTCACCTGGGCAACAAAGACATGCTCTCCATATTTAACTTTTTCAAGTTGTACTTAACGTTTTGAAAATGGTACTGTAGACTGGAAATAAATGTAGTTGATGTGTCATGCAGGTAACCCTCCATTTGTAACCACAATCGGGATCAGAAGTCCCATTGGTAAGGAAAGCGGTTAAGTGATTCTTGCCCAATTTTACAGTCTTTTTTTTTTTTTTTTTGCACAGTTCAGTAAATTATGCAGTCATTAAGCAAATCTGGCTTCCCCCATCGGTTTTGCTTGTCAGAAGCCGGCTTGGAAGGTCGCGAATGGCGATCACCAAGGGACGCTGCAATCATTGTAAATATATCCCAATTGCCAAGCACCTAAGCTCTTGTGACTGTAGGGATGCTGTGATTTGCAAGTGAGAGTACCCGTTGTAAGTCACTTTTGCAGTATTGTTGTTGCCTCAAACAGTTGCTAAACAAATGACTGTATGTTGAGGACTATTTGTACTATTTTTCCAAATCATGCACCGGATAGCCTCCAGTTGACTTAGCTTTGAATTTTTAAGAGAAAATAAGAGAATATCCTCCATGGAGCACGAGGGGGAAAAAATGTGATTTTTCCCCGTGAGACAGAACTGTGGTTAAGAGCTCTGCTATCGCTGCTCTATTAACTGCCTTGGCTAAGTGGCAGATGAACCTAGGGATTATTTGTGAATAAATGAGGACTATATTTCATTCTTCAAAGAAAGGAGAGGGAGGGAATTAGTCTCAGCAGAAAATCTGCTTTAGTCTCGGTCCTTTAAACCAGTGTGTGTGTGTGTGTGTGTGTGTGTGTGTGTGTGTGTGTGTGTGTGTATTTAATACATTCACTATCATATTATGGGAAAGTTTGTAACCGGAAAAGGTTTTGAGATTACCCACGATGCTATTCAAATGCAAAGATGTTCTTCTGGATTTGGTTTAGCAGTTAAGGTTCTGACCTAGAAACCAGGTGACTGCGAGTTCTAATCCTACCTTATGCATGAATGCTGCCTGGGAGACTTTATTGTTATAAATTTAATAAACGAATGGTAGTAAATAGAGGACTACCAATACTATGGAGAATGACTTCCTGGCTGTTTTTAAATCTCAGATGTGTAAAACCATTTGTATGGAGAGCTCAGATGACACAGCAAATCATCTCACTATCCAACCACGATTTTAGCTACAGTACTGATAATCTTCGGTTTACAACCATCCATGTAGTTGTAGTGACTGTTCAAAGTTACAACAGCGGTGAAAAAAAAAGTGACATGACCAGGTTTCACACTTATGACCATTGCCAGCATCCCTAGGGTCCTGTGATCAAGAGTCAGTCACAAAATGTGACAGAGCTTGTAACAAATGCCTTGCTTAGCAACAGAAATTTTGAGCTCAATTGTGGTCATAAATACCGTACAAATCTGGAGCACAGCCATATTGTGAAAGAAAGCCTGTCTGTCCCTAAAGTATCTCGGTTTCTAATCTGAAACGGCTTGATTTTGAGAACAGCCCAGAATCCCTTATAATATGAGATGGGTGATTAAATAAAATTAAATAAATAAAACAAAGTTCAGAAGAAGAAAACTTGTGAAGCGGAGGTTGCCCAGCGGGTACGTCGTGCATAACTTAAGTTTTGTGAAATTCATCCACTTTCCTCAACAGTTGCACCATTTTTCATATTCCTGGCGCCAAACTAAAAGAAAGGGACTGGCTCCCTTTGGGGTTTAGAGCATCGTAGTCCCCTAACTCTGGAGAGAAGTGGGGTGGTGGTGGTGCTTGATGCTCTCTGAGGATGGTTGTTTTATTCCAAACGTTTCATTTCCAAACCAGGTTATCATCAGTGCATCGGTACCGAAGTCTTTCAAAAGCTGAGAGGCACATTATAAATGCCCATAAGTGCCATTTCTGTCGCCTCACATATATTTCTGCAGGGATTACATAGCCCATCATTGCCCGCTTCCCTGCCTGCGCTGACTCTCCCACCCCCCACCCCCCCGCCGCCCAAGATAAGATCTGGCAGCGGGTAACCGTCCCAGGAGGTATTAAAAGATCCCGGTTTGTGGGGGGGGAGGGAACTCCTCCTTTTCACGCCCCGGCGCGCCCGCCTGCCGAGGCGGGTCTGGTGCATATAAAAGCGGCTTGCACCGGCTGTTCCTGCCTGTGTCTTTCTCCGCACTTGGGCGCCTCTAGTTTGGACTTCGCGGGACGGCTGCCATGGCCAAGTATGTGGAGCTGTACACAAAAGCAAAGATGCCCATTTTGGGACTGGGCACGTGGAAGGTAAGCAGTCGCAACCCGGAGGCGCTTTTTGCCCGTCTGGACGGCCATCGGTTGGCGCGTCTTCTTTCGTCCCTTATTTGTTCCTTCCCGTTTCGTTCGCGGGCTTTTTGCTCCAAAGGGTAACAAAGCGGAGGATTTGGGGGAAAGGGGGTGGGGGTGGGGGGGTGTTTCTTTCGTTGTGCTTTTTTTTTTTTTTTTTTTGCACATGCCTTAAAAACATATTGCAAGCTTGCAAAATAAGCCACGCGTCTTGCAGGCTTGCAATTGAATTGGTGGCCTTCCCGTTTCTTTCTCGTAAAACCGTGGGGCGGGCTTGGGTGTTTTTTTTTTTTCTTCCCCGTTTACGTTTTGCAGAAAGCTTTTGTGGAAGAGATTCCTGGCTCTCCCAAATGGCAAGCGGCGATTAGCTAATATATCCGTTCTGCATCCGGAAGGAGGCCTCTTTTAATTCCCGATGTCGAAATAAAATTTCAGAAAACACCCCACCCTACCCCAACCCTCTTCCGAGAAAACGGAGACACTGGCCCCACACGGAAATTAAATAAAATGAATTAAAGTTGCTCGGGCTTCGGATTTCATAACGGTTGTCTGGAAAGTGCTTTGTTTGCACGGTTTGGGGTACCGGCGTTCCCTTTTTAGATGCTGAAGTCTCCCAGGAGTCTGAGCTAATGTGGCTTATGGCTAAGGATGCTGGGAATTGTAGTTTAGTAATCATGTGAAGGCTTGATGGTTCACTCCTGCATTATATATACTTGCTTCCCTGGGTATCACTTGGGAGCCAGTATTCTTCTCTTACCACTAGCGTTTAATACCACTTTATAATGCCTTGGTAAGACCACGCTTGGAATACTGCATTTAATTTTGGTCCCCAGGATGTAAAAAAAAAAAAAAAAGATTTTGAGACTAGTCTAGAAAGAGTGCAGAGAAGAGCAACAAAGATGATTAGGGGACTGGACAGAGGCTAAAATATATAAAGAACTGTTCCTGGAATTTATATCCAGTTTAATGAAAAGAATGATAGTAGTGTTCCAATATCTCAGGGGCTGCCACGTAAAAGAAGGGGTCAACCTATTCTCCAAAGCACCCAGAGGGCAGGACAAGAAGCAATGGATGGAAACGAAACTAGTCCAGGAGAGAAGCAATCTACAACTAAGAAGAAATTTCCTGACAGAACAATTAATCAGTGGAACAACTTGCCTCCAGAAGCTGTGAATGCTCCAACACTGGAAGCTTTTAAGAAGAGATTGGACAACCATTTGTCTGAAATAGTATAGGGTTTCCTGCCTAAGCAGGGGGTTGGACTAGAAGACCTCCAAGGTCCCTTCCAACTCTCTTATTCAAATTCTAATTTTTCACAACCAGTCTTAAAATCCAGGCCTTGAGACTTCTTCTGACTTTGGAGATATTCTTACTTCTGTTGGTAGTAAGTTCTTTTGATCCAGATAAGGGCCACCATGGTCAAGTGGCTAAAATATAAAGAGTTAAGAATATTTTTCTTCTGGCTTCCAACTTTGCACCCTTAACCTGATATGAAGAGAAGTGATAGGTGAAAATTGTGGTGTTCTGATGTATATCTATATTTTTTCCCAATAGAGGATCCTTTATATTTACTTGCTGCATAATTTATTCATAAATTAATCTGATTAACATCATTTGGTCCCTTTTGTGAAAATAAATACTTGTCAGTCCAGTTCCTTAATTGACTTTGTTGTATTGTCTTTTAAAAATCGTATGAGATAAGTTTCTATCGATAATTACAACTATTACAGGATTTAGAGGTTCTTTTTATTTTAGTTAAGAAAGTATTTAATCCCCATTCTTTTAAAACAGTGCATTTTTTGCATTAGAAGCTTCCATTGGAGTGCCCTTCCTCTATTTATGTGCCCAAAATGATGGCACCTTGTTGGGGAATTCTGGGAGTTGAAATTCACACATCTAAAAAGTTACCAAGATTGAATAAAAGTGCTCTAAATCATGCTGTTTATTCCTTGTTTCTTGACCTCATCTAGGCACTAGAAGTGTTCCCTCAGGGCCTTTCATTTCTCTTGAATAACCTTTCATACAATTCATGACTATTCATTTAACAACTGTTGAAGTTACAATAGTGCTGAAAAAAGTGACTTATGACTGGTCCTTGCACTTATGACTGTGGTAACATCCCACTGTCATGTGATCAGAATTTGAGTGCTTGGCAACTGGCATGTATTTATGACATGTAATTGCCACTTCCCCAGAGGCATTCTGATAAAGTCAGGGGAGGAGCAGAGTTCACTTAATGACTATGGCAAAAGTCATAAAATCAGGCATTTTAATAACTGCATCGTTTAATGATGGAGGTTTCAGTCTCAATTGTACTCTTTTTTTAATATAGTTTTTATTAATTTGTAATATGACATACAAAGAGAATACAACAGTAAATATTAGGGAAATTAGGGAAGGAAAAAGGGAAGTGGATAGTGGGGGAAAGCAAGCGGGGAAAGGGGGCATTGACTTCTGATTCCTTTGGTACAGTAAAATAAGGCATTAACATCTATCTTCAACTTTTTACTTTTTCATAATATAAACCAGCCATTTCTATAATAACAATTCTATCTAATCTGTAAAACCCAAACTGTAGTCTTAAATTGGGGACTATCTGTAATCTGAAGCCACCATGCAAAGAGAGTTAATAACATTGGTCACATTACTTTCAATAATTAGCAGTGACAGAGTCATTTCAACAGGAGCTTTTGCTATAAAAATTGTCTGTTCCAAACAAGGTTTCCTTCTGTTAATTCTATTTTCTAATAAAACAGCAGCCTGTAGCTTTATCTTTGCAAGAGCCTTGCTACCTAAATCAAATATGCTTATTTGCCCCTAGGAGCAGAAGAATTTGTTCCAGGAACCCTCAGATGCCTCAGATAATTTGCTTTCTTTAATGTCCTTGACATTTTGTTATCTTTACAAGAAAACCACCAGTGCATCACTTGGAAAACGGTTATGGTACATGAAGACCTAATTAAGAAAACTGTATATTTTTGTTTCAATTTTTTTTGGAATTGCCAGCTGCACATATACAGAGTGGGAGTCGGGATTCTGGATCATCAGCTGCACACTGGTTTGCCCAGGCTATTAAATTTCTGCCTATAAATAAGCAAATAAATAGCATTAAAGCCTCCCATACTATGTAAGCATATCAGGCAGCAAGGGATCCTCCAGTATTTTTGGTTTTGGGTGAAT